TCCTTACCTATAATCTGCACTCTAAGAATTAGAGTATGAGGGGACATCAAGTCTTACCTCAAAGTTAACAACCTGAGAAGGGGGAGAAACCTTTGATGCCAAAAATAAACTTCTAAGTATTACTTGTATGACCCGAGGAATATGTGAGGAAATTTAATTTGGAGGTACTACCTCCATTTTCAAAGCTAAACTCAAAAATTTAATTGAGAAATATGATCAAATTATCCACTAGCATTTCTTCATCTCGATACAAGGCATCCCTAGTCTATCTAATCTCAGAGACCACGTGAGGCTCCATCATGTACTCTTCTGTGATCAAAAGATCTGATCAGTACTTGGAGGATATCAGAAATCCTCCGAATGGAGCCATTCAATGTGATTATTTCTCAATCTAGTGAGGACTGTTTGTAGAATTTTGAAAATGTGTCTTTTAGTAATTACCTTTCTTTTTTTGTGTTAATTGGTATTTTAGAAATGGTTAGCAAAAGTTATTAGAGATTCATAGCAAAAACTTTATGCTATAAATGTAGTATTATTTGCTCCCATTGTTATTCACTAAGCCAAATGTGTTTTGGAAATATAGTACTTTTATGTCACGTAATGGTAGTAAACCTTCCTAATTTTGTGCATTTTCTAAGATTCGTCACTTGGTGAGGGTTGTGTGTGTAGTTTGTAAGGTTTTGAAGGAAGAGTTATAGGGATTCAAGGCCGTAGATTTTTTTGGCTTGTTTACCATTTCTCTTTTAGTCGTCCAGTATCTCTTTTGGCCTCATACTTCAACAATTATTTCCATTAACTAGTCTCTGTTCTTCTCTCCTTCACATTTGCAGTTTCATCCAGGGAAGAATGTGGGTCTTGGCAAGGATCACACACTTTACTCTTTGATAGATGGACTAGTCAAATTTGAGAAGTTTGGGCCTGATAAGAAAAGGTTTATTTTCTTATATGCATAAACTCGTTTCTCAATTTCTTATTGCATTTAGATATATGTAATTGTTTAATGATTGACAGGTGAGTGTCTATCCACGTGTGGAGCAGCCTGAAAATCCCAACAGTTACAGAGCAAGAAAGAGAGAGTCCTTCAGATTACAACGTGAACGTAGACGAGCACGAAGAGATAGTTTGCTTGCTCATCCGCAGCTTGTGCTTGCTTCTACTGCCGAATCCACTGACTACAATCCAGCTTGTCAATGCTGACAGATGTTACATATTACTAATATTTGCAGTATCCAGTATCCACTGTATTCATTACTATGAATCGTCACCGGCCTTGTACAAGGTTTGCTTCATTATATTTTCAATTTTTGCTGAGTAACTGTGTTATTTTATTAATTATTATTTTTTCTTTTTTTGAGATTAAGATGCACAATAGGATTAATCCCATCAACTCACGATAGCTACACAAATTAATTATCAAACTAAAAAGGGTATATCTTTAGAGTCGATATTTCGGAAAATGTATATGGGGTCAAGCAAGAAAAACCCCTCTTAAGGAATGTACAGGCACTAATATATGTGAAATCTTAAGGTGGTAGTTTTGTAATAATTAATAAAAATGTATATCTTCATTCTTAATTTTGATTGCTGCGGGGATCAAAGTGAGATATATTTATGTTAAATCAATTGATATGTATTAATTCATGTTCCTATACCCTCCTTATATTTAGATTAGTCCTTTACGTTCTACACATACTTATAATTTTTTTTGGTTTAATTGGTCAATGCTCTTTGTAAGCAAGCTTCAATTTCAGATCTCTATTTTGGCTGATTCTACATATATATAATATACAATTAACATATAACTGTACCCAATTCATCTTTTCTCTCAAATTCATTGGTTTCTGTAAATTTCATGCCTTAATTGGTTAATACTAATTCAATTCTTTTAATTGCACATAATTAGAATTTCGTGCCATAATATGTGAATAGGTTTCTACTTGTCACCAATTTTTTTTTTGTGTTTCACTCGACTCACGTTATTAATTCAAAATAATATTTTACATGTGTTAGTATATTAATTAATGGTGAGCAATTGGATGTATTATCTTTTTTTTTTTTTATATTTAGTTATGAAACATTACATTAAATTTATTTTTAATTGTTGTTGCTCCTGAAGTAGCACAACATTATAATTAATATTTCAAAAGAATATTAATCATAGATCTTTTCGTTGTTGCTCCAGAAGTAGTACAACATTATTAGAATATTATTTGTTCCTGAAAAGCATAAATTATAACTCTCAATATTCCAGAAGAATATTGACATATTGCACTTGAAGAAATAATAGCAAAATATAATGTGCTCCAAAAGTAGCATATGTTTCGAAGAACATATTATTTCAAATTAGTGTTTATCCCTAGAGGAAAACACGTAACTTAAAGTCATGTTGATATTGACTATTTGATTAACATGTGATGATTAATCATATTCTTCGAAACTAATTGTATTTTCTTATTGTGTAGTTAAACAAATAGCAAACATTACGAAACTTGAGTTTGCCGCACTTGACATATCTGGTAAAAATTATCTGTTATGGATACTGGATGCTGATATTCATCTCGTCTCAAAGGGTCTGGGAGAGATAATAAAAGAAGGAAACAATGATATTCGACGCATCCGATATCGTGTTAACATTATTTTCAGCTAATATTAAGTTCAAAAAGTATTTTTTGTCTTGAAGAATAGTATGTGTAGTTACACTATCAATTAAGCAGCTGTCTTAACTATCCATCATGAATCTATAAATATAACAAAATAAACAAAATTAAAAAAAAAATTTGAATTTAGATTTAAAGAAGTAAACATTACTTAATATCATGAAATAAACGGTGCATAATAGAGTTTTTATTTATTTATTTTTTTTTGTGCGGAAAAGCAAAAACATATTCCAAACTGATTTTTTTAAACGAAAGAAATACTAGTAAATTAGCCCCCGTTTGGCCCCCATTTTTTGTAATGAAAATGGGGGGAATGGTGTTTTGTTGAAAAAATGAGTGATTGAAAAAGAAAGAAAAATTTTCGATTTTCATATAATATTATTTTATGGAAGATTGTATGATTGAAAATAGAAGAGAGAAAAATAGAATGTAATGGAATGTAAATTAATGGGGATCAAACATGGGCTTAATCTATATCTTTTATCACACCACCCCCAACCAAATGGTCAATATTTTCATTTGGATCAGTAAAGAAATCGGAGACATCCAAATGAGTCAAATCAATTGGACCATCATAATCAGCAAAATTAGTCTCCAATTTTTCTTTTCCCTTGATTGATCTCTGGTAGAGATTCACAAGATGTTTTGAGGTACGACACGTACGTGCCCAATGTCCTTTCATTCCACATCTAAAGCAACTTTCTTCATGCTCCTTTTTAGATTTGTCACTCTCCTTTGCTTTGTGCCTTTTAAATTTATTGCCTTGTTGTTGATAACTTTGTTGATTATTTTTTCCATGATTTATTCCACATATACGTCCAAATCCGTGTTCACGTTCACGTTTACGTCCACGTCATTGTCTTGATATTATATTTGCTTCAGACAATGGTACAGAACCGGTTGGACGTAATCCATGATTTTTCATCAACAATCCATTATTTTGTTCAGCAACTAGTAGGCGAGATATGAGTTCTGAGTACCTTTTGAAGCCACGCTCACGATATTGCTGCTGCAGGAGCACATTCGAGGCATGAAAGGTGGAGAAAGTTTTTTTCCAATAGATCTTCATCGATGATTTTTTCTCCACACAAAGTCAACTTTGAACATATCCTGAACAATTCAAAATTGTACTCACTAACCGTTTTAAAGTCTTGCAAACGAAGGTGCATCCACTCATAACGGGCTTTGGGGAGGACTATAGTCCTCTGATGATCAAATCTTTCAGTTAACTTTTTCCAAAGAACTTGTGGATCTTTCTCAGTGAGATATTCAATTTTTAATCCATCGTGATGGTGACGGAGGAAAATGAGTGCTTTTGCACCATCCTGTTGGAATTCATTGTTTCCTTCTTTTATTGTCTCTTCCAGACCCTTTAAGACGAGATGAATATCAGCATTCAGTATCCATGACAG